AGGCTTTATTGAAGAGTCATGACTGATTAAATCATTGGCCATTGGCAATTAAACTCAATCTCCAGGCCCTCCACTTTCCCCAGAAGAGGGGTGGAGTAGGTGGGGTGGGTGGGTGGGTGGGTAGAGCTAAAAGTTACCAGGTGATCAACTCTTATCCTTAGGTTACCTTGGGGATTTTCAAAAGTCACTCAATGACATAACAAAAGACACCTTTACCTTTCTACTCACAGGAAATTCCAAAGGCTTTAGGATCTCTGAACCAGAATTGGGGATGAAGACCAATATTTAATATTGGGGTCTTCATCCCCAATATCAAAGTTTATATTAAATTAAACGTATAAAATTTATATTAAATTTTAATATAAAATTAAAATTTATAATTTAAATGTGGTTATATAAATTTATATTAAAATATATACATTTTAATATATATTTAATAAATATATATAAAAAACCACAATTTCAGTCTCATGCAGAAGAAAAAAAACAACAGCAAAACCTTGGTCATCACCCAAACTCTTCTGTCAGGAGGCTGGCTGCTCAGGGCAGGGTGTACTTTTTCTAGGGGTGGGTAAAGTTCAAGTCACAGGGTGGTCCCTGCCGCTCAAGGTGGAAGCAGGATGGCAGGAGATTGGGGCTAGAATTGTGCCTGATTTCAGGTCACCCTGAAATGATAATGATGCCATATTTGAACTAACTTCCATTAAATGATACCTCCTCAGCCCACAAGACCTACCTGGGGCCTAGACTAATATAGAGAAGCACCCACCTGAACAGTTGCTGGGAGAGGAGACTACACCTCTTTGCACATCCAAACAACTGTACAGACAGGGAGCCATCCAAAGGAAGCCCTACTGAACTTGTTGGGAAGAGTGTGGTGGAATCGGTACAAGTTTATGTGAGGTGGAGGTGTGGATGCCGATGCCATGAGTCATCGTGAGTTATATCCTCCCCACTGTTGTCTGCTGAGTTTATTTCAATGAGCCACCCATATCCACAGATGAGACATTTTTTGAAAAGTCTCTTGGGGCAGATGATCAACAGGGGCCTTGAATATGGGTGTGCAGTAACACATCAGGAGGGGAAAAGATAGGAAAGGAAGGGTGGCATGAGAGCTGATAGCAGGCTGTGTGCCTTGTGTTCAGTCCCAGGGCACCTCACATCAGTCTTCACTTAAAAACTCAAAACAACAGAATGCTTAAAGTAACTTGATTTTCCATGGAAAAAATTAAAGGCCAGGGCTCTGAGTCTGGCCTGATGGGAGTAAGAACAGTAAGGGTAACGTGGGGCGAACAGGCGTGGCGAGACCCCAAAGCAGAACACATGGATGGAGACAGAAAACAGGGGAGCTGTGAGGAGGTTGGATGCAGAAGTTTCTGAAAATTGGAGGAGGGCTTTTGATTATTTCAGGCGGAGGAATTTAGTTGTAAGCTAAGAAAAATTTAATTCTCAAGGGGGATCAACTTGGCATCTGAACTACATATGTCTACAATAATAATATTAATAGATTTCATTTATTGATCAATTTTATGTGTTTCATATATTATATTATTTGATTCTATTCTCATAACAACTGCAACAGATAATATGACTATTTCCTCTACAGGATTTATTCCTCTTATGTTTCATTTTTTTACACCATTTTTAAACCAAATTACTTTAGGGTAGCACACAACACAGGTAATTAAAGGAATCAAAAAGAAACAAACCGAAAAGTAAACTGAGGCATAGGGAGCCTGGCATCTTGACTCTTCTGCCGGTGCTTTTGGGCACTAGACGCACTCAATCCCTACCTTTTTCCTCCTCTTTTGCATCCATCCATCCATCGATCCACCCATCTACCCATTCACCATCCACCCACCTACCCATTTATTCATCCATGTTTCTGGCTGTATCTCTATCCACTTATAGACATAATTCTTCTTCAGGTAGGAGGCTGGGTTAAATAACCTAAAAATTTCCTTCCAGCTCTTAGGTTATATATGAAGTATGTTTCACTTGAGATTATATTGTGATTGTTTTTGGCAGGGTGTTGCTCTTCCTAATTAAATTGCTTCTTCTTATTGAACATACATACATTTTCACTGACGGTGACCTGGTCCAGAGCTTTGTCAGGATATCATTTTGCTTCAAATTACTTTGAACTGTGAATACATGGCAGGTGGTGAATAAGAACAACCATTCAGATAGGCAATGAGAAAGAGACAATGAGGCCTGGAATGAGAACATCACCTGTTTTTACCTCACTTGTATTCTGAGTCAATAATGACAATGATGGTGGTGATGGCAATGATGATAATGAGTCCAGTGAATCACATGGCCCTTATATCAGAAGAGATTTGGAGAGGTCATCCAATTTACCTTCTTGTCTCCTGTTAACAAATGCCTACTTTATCTCTGAAATATTCCAAAAACTGCCCCAAGAATCTTGAAAACTTTTCTAGCCTCATCTCTTCCTAATTTTATCCAGAGTTCCCTCCTTGTATATAAGTTTATTATTTTCCTCAATTTTAAAAATAATTATTGAAAAGTGAACCACACGAAAACAGAAGAAAATTAAAATAAGCAAACTGTATGGTCATAGGTGGCAAGAGATTGATGATAAAGGGGAAGCCAAATTTGGGGATAGAGATGCTGGAAACCGGTGGTTCAGTCTACATGGAGACACAAACACCATACTGATGCTGATCTCTTTCTTTTCAAATTCCAAGAATCATGGTGTGTGATTCTTCAATCAAGAATCAAAGGTGAGTCACTTGGAAGGTGTGCCAAAATATGGCTATTATTTTGGATTTTTATTTGCAGCAAGATCTCTCTCATTTCTCTCAGTGCTGGATCAAGTGCGCTCTTGGCTTCCTACCTTTTCTACATTTCCTCCCTTTGAGAAGAAAGAAATAAGATCCAGAAGACAACAGTATCATTTATGGAGTATCTACACTGTGTCAAGCACTGAACTCTATATAGTTTACATCACCTATTCATCCCCATGTTACAGATTGAGTGAGAACTTTAAGGTTCAGCAAGTTCCAGGGTTTCCTGATTGGTAAATAATGGAGGTTGAACTGAGCCCATGTCTATATTCTCCAGAGTCATTCACATGAGAAAAGAGCTTGGGAGCACTTTATCTGCATTCCTTCTTACATTCTGACTGAGATGAACATGATTTTTCCTGTCCATGCCCTAGGTCTTCACTTCCTCTAGTCTATGAGCTGATGGCTTCACATTATGATAGTGTATGACCTTTTCCTTCCTACATGTATGATCATGGATCAAAGAATAGTTATTCCTCTCACATATTTACACATATTGGAGACTGATATCTTCACTCATAACTTCAAATAGGGCCTGCTTTGCAGTCTTCCCCATGCCCTTCCTTCCATGGAACAGACACCAACTTCAGCAAACCTGCCTACACCCAGGTTACAGGGAGGCCTCTGCCAGACCACACATCCCACTGTGAAGGGAGGCACCTAAGCCATGCCTGGGCCCATCCCTGACCTCTGTGTAGGAGAGCATGTAGGCTTGCCTCACTGAGACAGAGTGCAGAACTCTGAGGAGCACCTGAGCGATGATTCAGAGGAGCAGCTGCCAATGTACCTGAGGCACAGTCCCCACGTGCCAGGCTGAGAGGCAGATGGTTGTTCCCAGCAGCAGCAAGACTGCAGAAGGGTATAGCAGGGATATAAGTTCAAGTGGAAGTAGAGTTGTCACTTTGGTTTTTAAACATCAAATGACTGGCCTTTACACACATTCACACAAAATCCTTCAAAAGAAGATAAGAACAACCCTGAGGACACTTTCACCACCCACCCAGTCAGTTCCAACTGCATGGAGAGCAATCCTACATTGATACAGAAGATAAATTCCACAGGTGGGTCTAACATCACCCTCAGGATGGCAGGTATCCTCAATGAGGTCCCTTTGCCCCTCTTCAAAATGAAGACAACTGGATTTGGACTTACTATTCCTGAACCCCAAAGACCACCCCTAGAGAGAATGGTCTTTGAAGGATGAAGACATAGGACACATGGTGTCTTTAGATAATGAGGAAAGGAAGCCTCTCACATTCAGAGAACTGGGGAAGTGGGCATGGTGCTAGGATGAGAGTGCAGGGCTGGAATGCAGGCTGTGTGCAACTCTGGTCTGGAGAGAAATTACCTTTATCAGGGAGTGGGGGTTTTGTTAAATCCTGACCAACCTGTGTCCTTCAGCCTTGCTGATGTCACAGCTCCAGATTCCTACCAAGTCTTACTTTTTACAGCTAGCCCCCACTTACCCTACTTATCAGTGCAATTAATAAAAAATAAAGTGATTGTTCCTCAGGTTGTGTCTGGAAATAAACTCAAGAAGCAGCTCGATCAAATATAACATTTCCACTCAGTCTTACGGGAGAGGACTTCTCTCTTTTTGGGAGAGAAGAGAGAAATCTAATAAGACTTGGCATGGCCAGTAGTGGGAGTTCCTGCTAGCTGTGACAGACCAGCTCCCGGACTGGCCAGACAGACCAGGACTGGGACTAAGGCACCAGGCTTTTGGGTGTGTGTGTGTGAGAGAGAGTACATAGAAACTGTCCCACCCACACCCCACATACCGTCACAGGGTGGAGCGAGGCACTTGTTGTCCTTACCTTAACCTCATCATGTTCAGAAGTGCTGAGCTTTGACAGTGCTGCGTTCCTAAGGACACAACCCAAAAATGCTCAGCCAACCTAAAGGGCACCATTCCAAGAAGAGTCTCCTTTATCTGCCTCTCACACCTGGGGTTCCTGGACTCCAACCAGGTCATAGCCATGAATACCATTTATTTCCTAAGGGGAAGCAGGGGTCATGTCTAGCTCTATCTGATCCCCAAGCTTGTATTCACAAGCTCACCCTACCCACCCTTGCCACCTTCTTTTGGCATTCTCTCAAGCTGTATAACAGTCAGGAAATTTGGGGTTAATGATGAGTTACTCTATTGCTACTTTCCAAAAATAAAATAAAAAGCCACAACACTAAATATGACATGAGTAACATTTAATTTCTGATACTTCAGAGGAAACTTCAGGATCTTGAAGGGTTCTCGGGGTGCTGTGTGGATGCACAGAAGTGCTGCTTAAGGGAGGCAGCATGCAGCCTGGAATGGTGATCAGGGGCCCAGCTCTGGTCCCAGCTCAGCTACTAAGTGGCAGTGACCATGGGTGAGTCACTTCCTTTCTCCAGCAAGGTTGGATTTGAGCATCTCTAAGGCCTCTCCCAGCTCTGATATTCTATGAATAACTAGCAGAGAATGTACTAGGTTGACTTCCTATAGGCTCTGAGGAAGTTAAAATCTACTGCATGTAATAGCATGGGCAAGGCCTGAAACAGTTCTTTGCTGCCTCTGGGCTCAGGCTCCCCTCTGTCTCTATGTTGGTCTGGCCCTGGCATCAGTCAAGAGCAGAATGAGAAAGGGAGCAGAAATCACAGAACCCAGAACCACTGCATGGTTTATTATTGATTTGTCAAGTCCATGGATGAGGACCCTCCCCAGTGGAGGTGTGCTGTTTGGACACTTTTCCTGCCTTCTCAGACCTCGGACCAACAAGAGCTCTGTGGCTCTCAGTCAACCAAGTGCTTTTAGTTACAGGAATGTGTCCTATCCTTGGGACCAGCTACAGTCAGAAGGCAGCTGGTGAAGAGATAGATAACAAACCAATGCCTCTTGGCCCCAGGCCTCTGTCCAGAAGGCCAGAACTAACAGAGCAATCCAGGAAGGTATGAGCCAGTCTCCATCCATTGCAGGAATTCTGGGACACCCACATTTCTGGTGGTGCTGCATGTGCTCAATGTCACTGGCACAAGCACCGTCTAATTTTACTATGATTCCCAGGTTTAGCCACCCCCTCCACTCAGTTCTCGTTAGGCTGAACTCTAACCAACCTGAGCAGAATTCTGAGCAATGACTCCATGTGTCATATAAATAGCTTCAGTGATATATAGTCTAACATACATACACACATACATACTTGTGGAAATCATCTTCAGGATGATTTGAGCAGGTACTCATTGGCACAACCACCCTGAATATGTGTAGGCTTGGACTGCAGTCTCTCCTCTCTCTCCTTTACCCCAGAGAGCAGAGCATTGGAGAGGGGCCTACCCCTGCCCAACCTTTGAGTAGCAAGGTGGGCAAGGCTCCTGACTGGAGGCTTGAGTGTCTTCTCGTTTGACAGGAGGCAGGGAGGAGGTTGTGCGGGCAGTGCTGGTGGTCAGTGTTTACTCCTTCAATAGTCCTAGCTTCTTCAGAGCCTCCCTTCTGTGCTCATCAGAGATGCCTTTGGGGGAAATCTTGACACTGACACAGGTGGGTCGAGGCAGCTTATCAGGGCTCTGTCCTTGGTGAGATGGGCGCTTGGAGCTCTGCTCCAGCTCTTGGTCAGCCAACTTGCTCACCCGAATTCCTGCAAAGTCCTTCCCGGTGCCCAACGAGGCAGGGCGGGGCCGGGAATTACGCCAGACATTGGGTGAGATCTTGTTCAAGAAGGAGTCTTTTCCCAGAGAGGTGCTGGTTTGGGGGCTGAGGTCTTTCTCAGCTGAGAGGTAGCTACTCAGCCCCACACCTGAACGCTCCAGAGTGTTGGACTTGAAGTTCATCTGTCTCAGGCCAGGGATGCTACTCTCCTGGAGAGTCAGCCCTGAGTTTGGCTTTGGCTGAGTCAGGGGGCTATTTGCCCTTGAGGCCGTAGAGATAGGAATTGGCATGGATTTGACTACTGGAACCTTCCCTGGAGAAGACCCCTGAGCTGGACCCAGAGCTGGGGCTTTCACTGGAGAAGTTCCCCGGGTTGGAGCAGGAGCTGAAGTCTTCCCTGCAGCAGGCACAGCTACTGAGACCTGAGTTGCAGGCAGCACCAGAGCAGGAGCTGAAGCTGGAGTGGGGGAAGGGGCCTGAGCACAAGTATCCTTGAGTCTGATGGAGCTGGTGGGCTTATTTAAGTGGAGGCTGGGTTCATCTTGGTCCTGGGGTAGCCCTAGCTTCTCCAGAGCTTCTTTGCGGGCTTTCCTTTGCTCTTGCAGGGAAGAGGAGACCAGGCTAGAATCTCCAGGGGCAGCCTCAGAGTGGCGAGACAGCCAGTTCTGGGGATCACTGTGGAAACTGCTTCGGCTGCTCTTAAGAACAATATTAGGTGGTAGCCTCCGGGGCTTAGGTGCTGTGAGGGGAGCCAGCTGGGTACTTGGATCACTCCCTGATGGGACTGGAGCATCTGCAGCTCTAGCATTCTGAGACGACACAGCCAGAAGAGGCTGAGGTTGTCCTGGTGCCCCCATTGAGCCTTTCTCATTGGATTTTTGGGACATGGCCTCTGAAGAAGTCTCCTTCCTCTTCTGGGGGCTGATTGACATGTGGAGCTGGGGCGTGGGGTTCTTCTCCACTGGTCCTTTGGGCGGGCTGTCTTCCCCACTCTGCTCTGGCTGGGTGTCCCGGAAAGCCTCTGGTGGGGGGATAAGAGCTATGTCCAAATCAAGGGCAGCCTCCTGGAGGGCGGTCGGAGCCTCGATGGGCTCACTGGTCTGGCTGACCTGCTCTTTCTCAGGGTCTGGGATGAGCCTCTCAGGTTTCCCTGGGATGTGGCTATTAGTCTGGGTGGTGCTTTTCCTGAGGTTCTGGTTCCTGCCGATATGGATATTTCTGGGGAGGCTGTAGGAGCCGGATCTGAAGCTTGGGCTTTGGGGTTCAGGCAGATGCGGTGAGCTGGACTGAGTCACTCTCCTTGGCTCTAGTCTTTGCTGAACGAAAACCTCCTCTGGATGTCCTGTGAGAGTCCGAGAGAATGGGCAAAGAAGAAAGGACAGAGGTGAGAACCCTACTGCCAAGGGAAAAGCAAATATTTCCTGAACTCTGATCTGTAGTTTGCATAGATGGGTTTTGTTTTTGTTGTCTCTTTGCTCTTAAAGGGGCAGCACTGTTATCTGGATATCATTTAGACTAATGGATCAATACTGGCAGATTCCCTTCATCCAAGGATTAATTTTTCATGACAGCTGGGGAAGGCCATCTGTGGAAAGGGTAGATTCAGATAGTTCCTTGTCCTTGACCCAGGCTCTTCCTTTACAGAGGTACTAGGGTGGGAAGGGGTTTAGGACAGTTCCTCTAGCTGTCTTGGAGCTGCCAGATAACTGAGTCCAATAGGAGTATTGAACACAAACAGCATAAACAGATGGTTTGCTTTTGATTTGACCAGGCTTCCACCTTCTTCCACTTTCCCTTTCTAAAAGTACCTGGGTGATTCTGTAAGGGCCCAAGCTGTACCCACACCAGACAGTGACATGGGCCTTTTCCTTCCAGTGAGCTAGTCAAGGGCGTCAGGCTCAATGGGTCAGGGAATTAATCTTAGGTGGTAATGAAGTACCATAGCCCCATTTACTGCTCTATCTTCAGGGAAGGTCTAATACAAATTATCAATAAATATTTACTAAATGAACAAATAAATGATTGCAGCATTGATACCAGCGGGACTCTCGTCAGGAATAAAGTGCCACCCTACTCACCTGGACATATGGCCCCACACTCATGTGCTACCCTGACCTCTTTCTACTGAGCCTATACCACTGGCTCTCCACATTCTCTCACAAGAGGCTCAAGGTGCCACCCAAGCTAAGGAAGCCCTGCCCTCTTCTTATCTCCTTCAGCCTTAGCCTCTGGGTCATCCAGATTAACTCTCAAGACTGACTCAGTCTCTCCAGAGCCAACCGTCCACCCCTCTCTCACCTCTGTTGTTGTATCTATTTAGAATTTCTCCATGAGTGGATCAAACCCCTTTTGCTCCCAGGCCTCTGATACATACAGAAAGACATAGGAAGCTGGCTTGTCAACAGTTCCTCCTTCCCTCCAGGGACAAGGCTTTATTCTAGCCTGGAGAGTGGAGAGGAGTGTGGTCATTCTCTCTTCTGCCTGTGTCCCATAGAGCAAAGAGCAAACAAAGTGGAAAGTGGACAGAAGGATGTTCAGATTTTCTGGGTTTCACTAGAGGTGCTACCCCAGACTGTCTCTCTTACCCTGGGGAGCAGGCTGGATTTGGGGCAGTGCACGGGGACTTTGGGGAGTTGTGGCTTGTTCAGACTCGTCAGTGGACAGTCCACTGTCAGCCTCAGTGTCCAATGAGCCAATGGTTTCCTCCAGGAAGAGCAAACACTCCTTCTCTTCAGCGGACAGGAAGTCGTAGCTGCTGTCACTCTGAGTGAGGAGAGGAGGAAGCAGAGGAGAAGGGAGCTGTGAGAGGGAGCTCTGCAGAAACTGGCGGGGCCTGAGCACCACCCTGAGTTGGGGAAGGAATGCTGAAGAGCTGGAAACCTTTCTACCATGCTACTCTGCAAACCTGCTGGAGCTGCTTCCTGAAACTGCAGGCACCAGGCAGGGCAGAGACTGCTCTCTTACTAGCACCTAGCTCTGGTAGCTGGGCAGACAAATGGCAAGTGGCCTTTCTTTTGCAGTCCCAGTTCTACTTCCAATTTCTCTGTGTGACCTGTGTTAAATATTTCACTTGGTGTCTCTGGTTTAGCTCTAATTAATACGAGTGACATAAAGATTTGACCTTCAGTTTGAATGGTACTGTTTTCAACTTTTCAAAGTACTTCTGCATCCTTAATCTGTCATGTCAAGGACAGTACAAGGACAAACAGGAAGCACAGCCAACTGCTGGCTGCCAGGCCAGTGGGAACAGGGCTATGACTAGCCACAGATAAATTTACTAAATAATTTATACTTGACTGTGAAATGCATTCCATATAGGATTTTTTCCCTTGTGTATTTACTTTCTTGATGGCATTTGGCTCTGCTGACATTCAAATAAGAGTGTACTTCTTAAGCAAATATTAACTTAAGGGGGCAGGGTAAAGAAACTGGATGAGTATAGGGGGAGGAGAAAGCAATTTAGTATTAAATATTAAGTAGGTATTAAGTAAGTAATTTTAATTATGAGAAAGGCCATAGGAGTATATGGGGAAAATGTTGTGGTCATTTTGGATAATTGCTCCCCATGCTCTACAAGGCCAGGAAGATCCATGGAACAATCACTCTCCAAGTGAGAAGGTTGAAGGGAAGTCCAAAAAGGCAAATGGGAATATATGAAATTTGGCTAGAGACCCTTCCTGCCATCTTCCCCCTCCCCCCTAATATTTGAGAAACTTCAAAGTTGTATATTCTCCAGACCTACTCAGATGTCCAGGAGAGATTCTGGGATAACTCTAAAAATATCCTGGGCAGAGGGAAGAAGGCTGTTGGAGTAACACTTCCAGTCCCCAGACTCCTTAAAGAGACATCTGTCAGCTGACTGTGGGGCCCACATTTTAAGGGAAGCCACAAACACAGCCCTTGGAAGCCCTGAAGACAATGCCAGGGGTTGTCTGAACAAAGATCATTTTTACTGCCCTCTTCTACCTAAAATAGCCTTGCCCAAGATAAGCCAGCTCTGAATTTCTCCTTTGTGGAAAGTTCTCTCTGAAAACCTTTAATCTTGGTCATACTCTGTGTCCAGTGGTATCTAACTATTCATACTGGCCTTAGCCTAACAAGCAAAAAGATGTCTCTGTCAAGAAGACATCTTGACAGATTGCCTGCGTTCTGGATTTTGAGTGTTTGTGTATGCGCTACTTTTTCTAATCCATTTTTACATATCAAAACTCATCAATTATATTAAACATCCTTGACGCATGGTAGAGACCCTTATAATCCTTAATTTTTCAAATACCTCTAGAGGATATAAAGCAATACAATATAAATTCTGAGGCATAATTATGTACATGACGAATCCCAACAAGAAAGGAATGCTTATATTTGGACACAAGGCAGATTTGCTCTCTCACACCAGCCATACAACAACTTAGATTTAAATTCATGCCCAGAAAAATTACAATGTATTATGTGCCACTCACAAATAGTTAAACATACTGACTTAGGAACAGTCTCAATCTCTGTTCACAGAGAGACCATTTCTCTTCTATATACAGGCACATGATAAGTGCTTATATGTGTTTCATTTACTTCCCCCTAAGATCCCTATGGATTCAGTTTTATTATCATTCCCATTTTAAAACTAAGAAGACAAAAGCTTATAGAAATTAAGTAATTTGCTCAAGGACATAGAGCTTATACTAAAGAACCCAGATCCTTTTGGCTCCAGAACCCAGGCTCGTAATTACTCTATTCTCTTCGATCTTTTCAAAGACTGAAGTAATGCTGCTAATTGCAGAGAACCTTGGGAATCCATGTGCTACAAGGGTCTACATTCTAGTTTCCACCATGGCCTCAGATTACTGCCCTGCTCTCATCTCCACTCAGACCCTCAACCTCAGGAAAACTAAAAAAAGTCTCATTTGTCCTATTGCACCCTGGGGTAGTCCCACCCTATTTTCTATGGAACCGAGGGTGACTCAGAGACAGAAAGCATCAATCGGTATGACTCACTCCCTGACAAGGAAGATGAAAGAGAAGGAGCAGTGAGACAGGTCGGTCCTGGACGGGGTGGGACAGGACAGGGCAGGTGTGCGGAGAGCGGGCCAGGCTGCAGGACAGGGCCAGGCTGCAGGACACAGAGTACGTACAGATCCAGAGCGGGTGGAGGTGGTGCTCATCATGCTGTTCCAGCTGCCGACGCGGGTCACGGGTTCTGAGCCGGGCCCCTCTGGCCACAGCTCCCTCTCCGGCATTGCCAGAAACAAGGTGCAGGGACGGTGAAAGGGGCTCCCAGAGGGGAAGCGAAGAGAAGTGAAGAATATCCCAAGCTGGGCCTGAAAAGAAAAGAATCAAAGCCATGTGTGAGCCAAGGCTGGGCTCTGGCAAGGTTCTGCCCAGGCCTGGGAGCAGCATGGTGGCAGGGACACCAAGCAAGCAAAGAGCTAGAAGGGGCCATGGACAGCCATTACCCAAACCCAAACGCCCCAGCCTGCACGGAAGGACACATAAGCTGGCTCACACACATGCAGAAGGACGGACTTGGTGGTGGAGAAGCAGTCTAGTCAGAAAGGAAACCCCATCACTTCCTTTAGTTACCTTTTCCTCTGAACTAGGGAGTTTACCCTATATTCTCACTACTATGTATAATAGGTATTACAGGAGTTAATAGCTTGGATTCTGGAGGTAGTTGAATATGGGTTCAAATCACAGTTTAGCCATTTACAGTTATGTGACTGGAGGCAAATTACTCTGAGTTTGCTTTTCCTCAGTAAATAGGATTAATGCAAGGATTGAATGAGAGCAGTGCAATTAGCTGGTAGTAAATACTCAAATACTTAATGAATAAAGTACTGCTGTTATTATAATAATAAAAAGACAAAAAATCCATCTAGAATCAAAATAAATTGAATTAACAGAAATAAGAGTTTAGAAAAGAGGTGTCTGGGTTAAATGGGAGACAATAGGCTTGAAAGAAAGAACAGGGCCCTTAATAGCACCTACCTTATAGGATTGTTCTGAAGATATAACAAAATTCTCCACATAAAACCCTTGTGCAGTGCATGGCCCAATTGTTAGCTGCTATCACAGTCAACGTCACCAACATCACTACAACAGCCACCACCACAGCCACCCATTATCTCCCTAGCCTGGGACACACATGCATAGTACCTAGAGTGGTTGGCACAAACCCAATTCCCCTCCTGTGCGTCACCCCCTCCATTGCTGAACTTTTTGCAATATGGATCCCTAACATTTGTCAAATGAACAAGAGCAATGTTTTAAGTATCTTCCTCCCACCTCCAACTTCTGGGGAAAAGAAAGTTTCAAGTTCATTGCACCAATGGTAATAGCAAAGGAAGGCAGTGCCATCTTCCTTCCAAAAATCACAAGGACTTTCACATGCCTGTGTGTGGAGACACTCCAGCAGAGTTGGAAAGGTTAGGGTGACTCCCCCGTGTGAAAATGAAATTCTAAAAGAATGAAGATTGAAAGACAGGCTAAATGGAGAGTTGGGGGAGAAGTAGAATACATAACATAGAATACAGTCTGATTCTGAATCCATATTTTCCCCATAACACCAGACCTTATTTTCTACCATCTTTTCTACCCTTCCAATACTAGGTAAATTGTCCTAGGAAAATGTGTTCTATTTGAGACCTTGGGACTTGGGATTTGGATTCCAGGTCTGGTTGTCCCTTTGCCAATGACAGCTCCCAGTGCCACAGTCAGGTTTGGACTGTGCTGGGTGAGTCAGCCCATCAGCTCTGTAGAGCTGACAAGCACAAGCCCTCACAGAGCTCCTCTCCTACTTGGGAGAAGGCCTTCAGGTGGAGCAGGTAGGGAGAGGCAGGGCAATGGGAAAAGAAGGAAGATCCCTAATGACACATGTAGTTTATGAGGGTCCAAAGCCTCTCAGGAGATAGAGAGAAACCAGAAGGGAGAAAGATGACAAAGGCATCCAATGATAAGTTATGAGCAAGACAGCCCTTGGGTTTCCTTCATGACGTTAGTTTCCCAATATCCAGAAACGCAAAGAAACAGAAACATGAGAAATCATGTGAATGAAGTTCAGTCACTTTGGCTCACACCTCGTAGATGACTGTCTAGGTTCAGAGAGTACTAACTCATTGTTGACATTCCATGGGATTGAGGCCATTGCGGCAAAGAGGACCCATTTCTCATCAGCCCAGGCACACAGAAGCTGCTCAGAAAATGCTAGATGAATAAAACTGCCATCCATTCTAGTGTCTTTTGAGTTGAGCTATTGAAAGACCTCTTTTTTGGCTTCTACCCTATTACTATAAACTCTTTCTAAAATACTTTATTTCCCAGAGAACATATGGTTCAGTAGAATTTGGGCAATGCTTTCAGTTAAACTAACAGGCATGCACTAATGGGCACTGTTTCCAAGAAACCAGTGTACAACCAAGGGTCTAGTTTTTGGCTCCAGATTTCTTATCTGTAAAACTGGGGCAGTGAATATTACAAGTGGCTCACTGTAATTAATACAATATTCTCTGTGAATAAGGTGAGAGGACACTACCTTCTCCTTTCAGGGAAAATCACTACCCATGTTCTTCTAAGTACACGTCAGCCTTTATGGTTGTTTGCTAGCCTATTCTTCCTCTCAGAGTGCCTATTACACTTTCTTTTCAAAACTAGGGTGGCCTGAAACAGCTGAAAGAGGTAGAAACAAATGAATAGCACTGCTTCAAAAAACATAGCATGGTATAACTTACAAAGTGCTTTAGATATGCTGGTTAGATCTTTAAAATAACCTGGTAACTTGGGCAGGATGGGACACTTTCATTTGACAGGTTGGAAAGCTGGAGCTCTTCCCACTTCCCCTTCATAAGGGAAGGACGGAATGACCTATAACTGCACAGGCAGGGCAGCCTGTAGGCCCTGGCCCTCCAGTGGGTGTCTCCGACTATCCAAATGCAAGACAGCCATGCACCGAAAAAAGGGTCATGGGGCACCCCTGATGAATCACTGAAAGCCCTACAGTCACCCGTCTCCTAACTAACCCCTGTACATTATTTAATTCAGCGTTACGCTTCCAGGACAGGTTTTGCCCCAACAACAGACATTTCAAAGTAAAGAAGTTATACCAAATGCCACTGACAATCATGCTATCAGGCACCACATAACCATTGCAGAGATGAATCTGAACCAGAAACCAAAGCTGAATGAGCCCTAAAGTGCTTGCACCTTGTCTCCACACCTTGTTTTATGACACACAGTGTCTGAACTGTGAACAAGTCTTCTGTCCCCACCTCCACCCTCCCTCACCAGTGTGGTCTGATCTGGATGCTGTATTTCCTTCCACCAACTTTACAACCTTGAAACTTGGGACAACCTATTTCAGGGCAACCATTGAAACCTCAGGTATTTCAACCTGATAAGAATCCTGAGAAACCTGTAAAACCCTCAGGTGAGAGTTTGGTATCTTTTAACCCTTGGCCTCTTCAGAGGCCTTGAGGGGAGGAGGGAATGGGTTAGGAAATGTGCACAGCCTATAGTCAGGGCCTGCAAAGGCACATTAAATATTAACTACTCTACTAATGCCCGCCAAGCCTTAGAGGAGAGTAAATAAATAGCATGTGGAATTCAGGCATTTGAAGAGGGTGGGTGGAGAGAAGGCTTCAGCCCCATTCCAGTCTGGTTTCTCTATACTTTGTAAATAGATTGCTCCCATGAGCCCACCCCCATATCCTCCAAGAGCTCAGCCTCCCTCCCTAGTAGTCAAGGAGTTTGCCTATTTCTCTCAGACTAGGTGTCTGCACTTTTTGCTGACTACCCAGAAATGTGCCTCAGGCTGGAGAACATCCCAAGAAAATCGCCAGGGAGTCTCCAAGTGGCCATGTGTGTGCCGCCCTCTTTGAGAGCACATGGGCAAGTTTGTGTGTGTTAAAGGCAACACTGTAATCTCCATTTTCACCACAGTGTTGAGGGAAGAGGGAAGGGGTTGGTAGAAATATTCCCTGCACAAAAGAGCTTTGTTTGATGCTGCAGGCCATCTTTATTGCTGACAAGTTCACCACCTATGGCAGTCCTCAGTCAGTGAGTTTGGTGGGCTGGTTCTGTAGTGTGGACTGAGCTAAAGCCTAAAGCTCCAGTTGTCAAGAATGGAAACCTAATACAACAAGGGTTGGCAAAAGTGGGTTTACCAATATAATTTTTGTATGGGAAATTATACAGTAGTTACTAAATGTTAATACAAAAATAAATTCTGTAAACTCACAACCACTGTGTATCCACGTGTATGTGCTAACCCTGTATACTCACTCAGAGCTTGTGTGGTTCAGGCCCTGGGAGACTGGCACTGGGGTCTCCCCTTTTCCTCTTTCCTGAAGCAGGACAAAGGAGGAAAAGAGGCAAAGGTACAGGCCAGAGTGTTAATCCCCCAACGTGGCAAATGGAGAGGGCTGACTTACTATTCTGACTTGATGTCTACATCTAGCTTCCTTGTGTAGGTAAACCTGCCAAACATACTGCCGACCGGGGCCCCTGACAGAAGAAAATAAGTAAAACCACTGCACTGGTCTGGTTCTCCTCTCTGTGGACATGGCCACACTCCTTTGACCTAAGCCCCACTCAGAACTTCTACCAGAGTCAACATGCTACTGTGAAATATTAATGTGAGAGAGGTCCCAGCACAGTCAGGTGGCTTTCTGTTTGCCAGTCTCTATGCCTATTAATAGGTAAACCCAGAAAATTAGTTGAGCTGAACCCAAATAAACTGGACTCTACAACTAGATTATCTGTGGGTTTTCCAGAGATGAGCTGGAGGTTTCCCAATGTAGCCAAACCTCATACCCCTTACAAACAATGGAGCAGAGCTTACACCTTACACATTGCCATTATCGCATGGCCATGACTGAACACACACACACACACACTGCACCCTGTATTTAAGTAAAGATAGGTGATAACTTGATAAGACCGTAGGAGAATTTCCTGTTAGAAATGCAATGGAAAGCCACTCTTCTTCCCTGGGTGAGAAGACTTCTGTACTCCAACTATTCTCTTCCAAAATCACAACTCAATCTGAATTACTCAGAAACGGAAATTTCCAAAACAAACCTTTTCCCTCCTTGTGTCTGCACAATATGCTTATCTAACCTAAATAGGCAGATTAAAAATAAAAAAAGGCATTCTAGCCCTCATCTCTACAAAAGCATTTCAGTCCAACCTTTTCTGATCCCTCACTGGCCTGTAAGAGTTGAGGAACAGGCAGGAAAGCCCCCCAGCTGGGGTGTACAGGGCTCCCCACAGTCCGGTAGCCCTGAATTCCCACAAAGCGGCCCCACGTGCCCTCCCCACCCCACCTTTCTACAGAATGAGCAGTAGTTGGTCAGCGATAAACTCACCTTCCCTGGGTGGGGGGCTGAAGAGAGGAACAAACACCCCTGTATTTCAAAGGGCAGAACGGGGACAGGGGGACAGAGACGGCTTCCGCTGTCTCCTGTAGTTTCCGTCTTTGGACCTCTTCCTGACTTACCTGGACAGGTAAATGCTTCTTCTGTGCTGGCTCACCCCACCCTGCCACTGACTCTCAGCCAATCCCAGCCTTCCTTCCCTACTTCTCATTCCAGCTGTTTCTTCAGGGAGGGCACTGCTGTTCTCACTGAACCAATCATTTCTTGCCATCCCTTCCCCCATTTAGAGCCAATAAAAAGTCTTTGGAAAAAGGAGGACTGGAAGGAGGAGGGACTGCTTGGGGCTGAGACTAGGAAAGGCGAGTTGGCAGGGAGGGAGTAGGCAAAGTATTTTTTAATCTTCATAAGAAGAAACGCAGTCCATTGGATAGTATGCTTTTTAATGTGTGTTTGAAACTTGGTTTTCTATCTAGTGCTGCCTTCTTCCACTTGAAACTAAATATTCCCCTGAGTTCTCCAAGTTAAAATTCTCAGAGGCCAGTTTTGTTAATGGCTTTTCTAATCTTTCAGACTGACTCACTTTGATCCTTAAGCCTTTTCCTAGAAGCTCATAATGCTTCAAACTCCACTCAGGATGGCTAAAACAGATGTATCAAGTCTCCAGACCTAATGCACCCTTACTTTCCTACCCCACACCTCAGTTTGTCAAGGACCTTCTTGGCTACATTTATTTCTGGGGGGGAATGAGACAATTTTCTCCCCTGAGAGATCCCTGATGAAAAGTGACTGGACAGCACCGAAGGTGGGAACATGTTCAGTGTCATTTGGGTCTTTGGTTTGTATGCTGTTGATGGAAGGTAGCAGTAAATATTAATAAATAAAAACAAAATAAGCTACCAACCAGTCTAGCAACTCCTGTCACCTTCCATGGCAGATTTTTGGCTCCTGTAGTTAACCTGAAGAGAGGAGGGAGAATGGTGTGGGTGGAAGAATCCAGTGCTTTCAGGAAGAAATCTCCCTCCAGGTACGGAGGCCAGTTTTACCAGATCTGACTTTTGGCCTGGAAGCTGAGTTTTCCTAATTATAGGTTATCCTCGATATCAAAAGTGCAGAAAGAAAAAAACTAAAATTAATGCACGTGACAATTGCCAACGTGTTTTAAGCTCTGGCTGTGCACTTGGTATTGTGTTGTGCTAGGAATTTTCATCCATCATTTTATTTAATCTTTATTTCATCTTCAAAAGGTAGACACTATTAATATTCAAATTTTACAGGGAGGTTAAATAACTTGCCTAAGATCACACAGCTAGGTGGGAGAGCAGATTTCAGTTTAGGTACTATGACATCAAACTTGCCGTGTATTAGGATGCCAGTCAGCCTCTATTTAGGAGAAAATTCTAAGAGGAAACATGAACTGCAAAGATAATTTGCAGGTCTGATTCTAGCCATTAGATTTATCCTTTCTCATCTCATTTCTGTCTTGGAGCTATTCATGTTTTATATGACAAGATGACACATGTCTTTTGTGTTTTCTCTTTCTGTGATTATAGTTGGTTAGGAAATAAGAAGTGCAATGATCCAGGGGCCAAAGTAGAGAAGAGGTGGAGCAGGACTAATGAGGAGGAAGGAGGTTTGAGGAAGCCAAAACCAGTAACCAATCAGCAGCCTATGGATTTCAGAGCTAACTGAGCATTTGAGAGCAGTGACCTCTCTTCCTGATGTGCCATTCAAACACGTATGATGTCATAATACTAACCAATCAAGAAGGCATCTCCAAATCAAGTGCTCAATGCAACTGGAGTTACACCTATGGGTGAAGTCACTGAAGTTGATCCTGCTTCATAGGTGTGTAATTTGAACATTTGCTAAAAAAAAAAAAATAAGAATAGACATATGAGCATTAACCTCAAAGATGATAGTAGGCACAGCCTTGTTTGTGAATGGACGCAGTTTTTCAGTTTATAATAAAATTAAGATAATTAAGAAGAGCTCCTGTCTTTTACTAGGTAGAAGTAGGGGCATGGACAAATGATCTTTCCTTTTAGACATCTTTTTTTGAAAATTATGAAATATCTCAGATACCCGGCAATAGAAATACAACTGCATCCAACACCCAGTTCAAGAGCTAGGACGTGAACGTAACAGTTGAAATTATGTACAGGCTTCACCCCTCCCTTCTCTCCTGCCCCCTTAAAACACACATATACCCCAGATGAAATAAATCACTACCATGAATTGTGGGTTTTTTATTCTCCATGTCTTTAAATGTTTTATCCTGGAATCTTTCTTGCTTTTGCTTTGCTTTCTTGGAAAAATACCAAGTTTCTAAGGTTCCAAGAGAATTGGGAAGGAGGTCTGGACTAGGAGAAGAAGAGAACTCTCCAAATCAGAAATATCTGAAGGACCAAGACTTCCTGGTTGATTATGCAGGTCATCTTTTGAGGAGGAGTGCATGTCATTGCTCTTTGTGTATAAATTCCTGTTTGATGACCTGCCTCTGTGCAATGCAGTTACAGTCCAGCTCACCTGACTCAGTGTGCTCACTCCTTCTCCACCCTAGCATGCTGCCATGCTGCAGTCATCTCCTCAATGGTCAGAACCTAGTGTGCTATTTCCTCTCTCTGTACAATCTCTCAATGAGGCATCTCACTTCCCCCACTGAAGCACACTTCTGCACACACACAATCACATTACAGTCACACTCTATCAGTGCCTTTCTTTTCCTTTTTTTTAAATAAAGGAACAAGGAAGTTACTTTGAACATATATTATCATCATCCCTAAGAAATACAGGGTGCCCACTATGTTCATGGTTGTGGCGTGCTGCAGTATACTGGGCATAATTCTGAGCATATTTCTAACATTTTGTTTTGTTTTACTTTATTTGCAGAAAAGGTTTTATTCTTCAGGTAGCAAGAGCTTGCTTTAAAGAGAAAACAGCTAGGGAAGCATTCAGAGAAGGGTGATTAGAATTTGGAATTGATAGGCCATATTAAGACATGAATTAGGTCACCAAGTTCTCACCAAAGTGATATTAGAGTTAAGCCTAGAATAATTAGATGGAAACCAAAGTGTGTAATTAAGTAGATTGGGATGAAGGAATTCTGCAATTGCTTAATCATTAAGTAGTTCCTGGAAGCCTATTTTTCCCTCTTTTTTGAGAGCAGTGTTACTTTGGCCCACCTATCGTGGAAAAGTTTTCCTCCCAGTGCTAATGAAAGTTTGAGGGCTGAGGTTATCTTTTAGCATCAGAGATTCTGTTAGAAACACCAAATCTTAATATGTTCAAAATCAAACTCATCTGGTCCCTCCCCTCGTCTGTCCTCTCTCCTCTATCTGCACGCCAGCTGATAGCATCGCCACACCCACTCTCACCCAGACTCAGTACTTCACAGCAGCCCTGCCATATCGCCCGCCTCCTGTGAGATTGCTCTTACATTTCTTTTCAGCTCTTCATCCTCCATACTCTGGTTCAGGACTTCACCATATGTAGAATTATGGGTCATTAAAGATAGAAGTCTACAGAAATGCCTTGTTTCACATCTTCCATTTTACAGTGGTACATGTGAATTTCATTCCTTTCAAAATGCTTTGATGTATTTTCTTTTTTTAAAAAAGATTTTATTTATTTATTTTTGGAGAGAGAGGAAGGAAAGAAGGGAGAGGGGGACAGAGACATCCATCAGTTGCCTCCTGCTTGCCCTCAACTGGGGACCTCACTGGCATCCCAGGCATGTGCCCGGACTGGGAATCAAATAGGTGAACTTTAGTTTTGCAGGCCAGTGCTCAATCCACTGAGCCACACCAGCCACAGTGCTTCAATATATTTTCATAGCACTCAAGATGAAATTCTAAGTCCCTATATGACATAAAAATGCCTTCATATGTTGGTGTCTCCCATCACATATTCATCTATGCTCTTTACTACAGTCACATTCATATTCCTGAAGCTGCCATGTTTTCTTTTTTCAAAAATTTAAAAAAGATTTTATTTATTTTCAGAGACAGTGGAAGAAAGACTAAGAGAGAAACATTGACATTTGAATGAAACCTGGTGACCTGGCCTGCATCTCAGTCATGTGCCCTGACTGGGAATCAAACTCGTGACCTTCGGTTTGCAGGCCATCGCTTAATCCACTGAGTCACACCAGCCAGGGCAGGAGTTCTTCAACTTTTGATGTTGTATATATATCCAAGTCTGAGATACAATGAAGGTTTCCAGCTAGTGATGTTTTATATCAATGATTTAAAACATCCGGCAATAGTCTGATCTATTTTTTCTTAAAATGCTTCTAATATTCTTTGTTATTTACTTATTATTATGGATATCTCAAATTGCTTAATAAATAATAATTATTAGGTTTAACAGCATTTACAATACACTGTGCATATAGCAAATATCCAATAATGGAAAATTCTAGGGAACATTACTGGGTAAGTAATATTTGGATCTCCTGTCAAGCTCCTAACAGCTCTACACAGAACATTTGTTAAAAAAACAAATTTAAGAATTTATTTGCTTCTCAAACTTGCTGTTTCTTGGAATATTCTTCATAGAATTTGCATTAAATATACTATAATTTATTAATTTCATTCATTGTTAGCAGTAGACATGGACATGGAAGACAAACTTATGACAATAGTTATAAGCAAGAGATTGATTGATTAGACTGTAACCACCTCTCTCCGAGCTGTTAGTGTCCAAGTTCCCAGATGTCAGCTTTTACCTTTTACTCTACATGCCAGCATCTTCTGTTCTTGCTTTTGATTTGCTATCACTGGATTCCTTCAAACCGGTAACATTTCTTGTTGGTCATACAACAAGCAGATTAGCACCACTATAAATTCATGAATAACAACCTCCAATAATAACCTTCCACCCCTGTTTTGCTCCCTTCATTTTAAGATAATGACCTTGTCAGCAAATTTGAAAAATTTGGTAAAAAAAAATCAGCCAAGAGGCAGTACCTCCATCTTTCCATCAACTAACTAACTTACAAATCTACTTTCCTTTGCACCCACGTTCTTCTCCTCTTTTAGTACAACAAAGAAAATGTTTTCCTACAACCCCGTCATCCGCATGTGCTCTGGATCTATCTCATGAACTCTATCCCTGCAATTCTCTCTCTTACATCATCCTTTGGACCTTGTACTA